TGATTGTGTATGTAGGTAATCCACACTTGTGGAATTTATTTATTTCATAATATCAATATGCTAGTATAATCCCTACAGACTCTGGATGACATAAAACCATACGTCTGTTCTAATATCAGACTAGTGTTTGCCTGTTTTAAGACTGTCCTCCTTTGAAGCAATGAGCTTCAAACACTGTAGCAGATGAACATAAAATCCGTATTTCACAGGACTGTAGCCGTAGCATTTTATGTTGCTACATAAAATCTCTTGTCGAGAAAGCTTTTCCCCTTCTTAAAGGAGGAAGAAAATCAAAGGTTTGGTGAAAATGATATACTATCTAATTTAGATCAAAGATATTCCCTGTTACCAGAGGTTATGCCTGCAAGAATAAGAAACTGATGAACAAATTTGGAGCCATACATGGCAGATAATGTCATGAGGCATTGTCTTCCACAACCCAGAATATTGCTTCAAGATATTGCTGTCCTTTCAAATGGCAGTTGCTTTGCTAGTGAACTTAAGCTGTTGTCCCTGGTCATTTTTTAAACAGAGTACCGGTATTTATTTTAGAAATACAAAAAAACATAAATATAAATAACCCACAGATCATTTTCAGCAATTTCAACAAATTTACGAGCCCTGTCCTGTGCTCAGTAATAGCTGGTGAAATAAAAAAAAAGAGGGACTCCAAAAAGCAGAAGTGTGAGAAAAGACAACCGGAGTTGCGTAACACTGACATTTTTATTAGAATTCATTTGTAACAAATGGAGCTTGTGTCAGCAAAGAACTGATTTTCATACAGACTTTCTTTCGCCACTAATGTAACGAAGTAAGAAAATAAAAAGCACGCCTTTCATTCTGTAAAACATTTACGCGTACTACTGATTAGAGGTAATTGTATTTTTTTTTTAACAAGCCATTTTACAAGGGTTTTTTTTTGTTGTTTTAATTTTTCAGTCTAGGCATCCAAAACAAGAGCAGAGAACACAATTTGTATAATTTTTGTAAAGACACTCCAAGCCTGAATGGCAACGCCACATAACAAGATGGATGACGGGACCGTCAGCCCTCTGATAGTCTTTTGGAGTATCAGGGCTCATAAAAATTAAAAGATTAAAACCAGAAAAAGGGGGGGAAATAAAAAAGGGGGAAAATCTGTATTTCATTGTTGCCCCTGCAAACTTTCCCCCTCTTTTACCATGTTTTTGTGTTATTTACATACACACAAGTGGATTTTCATAATCGTTTTTCTTACAGATGGGTTCAAGTAATAATACTATTGGGTGTAGAATCAATAGGGCAGTGCATAGTACAAAGATATAGAAAGTGCAGATCACCCTCCTTTGCCCAACCATCCTCACCAACGGCTAACCATGCAAACCATTTTTTTTTCTAAAAAAAGTGAGCTAAAATAAAAGTTCTGTACAAATAATTCTTATATAGTTTGTGTATTTCTCCGTCGTTAACTAATTACAAAATTATACATAACTACACGTACATAGGTAAATAATAGCACCGTACTGATTATGCTGAGGAAACAAAATTCCAACTATGGTGAATGACGATTCACGAGACCGACTCAATGAAAAGAAAAAAGAAAAAAGGAAATGAGGGAAAAAGAAAAATCACCGCACCGCAAAGAAACCCAAATGGAATGCACATCAATGATTTGGATAGAAATCTCTTTAGAAGCAACTCCTGAATAGTCGCTTGGAGAGAACTGGCTATTTATTTGGCTGCATATCGGTGACGTGCTCGCCCTTCCTACTGATTAAGCTTATAATCTTCTTTTACAAAACAAATGATTGTTGGAGAAAGGCTGGCCTGGATCTGTAGTGAGCCACCTTAAGGCATGCCTGCACAAGATGCCCACAGATAGAGCTGGGGCACAATTGGAGTCCTCCTAGACCAGGGGTCTTCAAACTTAGCAACTTTAAGACTTGTGGACTTCAACTCCCAGAATTCCTCAGCCAGCCCTGGCTGGCTGAGGAATTCTGGGAGTTGAAGTCCACAAGTCTTAAAGTTGCCAAGTTTGAAGACTCCTGTCCTAGACTCACGGCTTCTGCTGAAGAAGCAGGTGGCAGTGACGGTGGAGAACAGCTTTGCACAGATCCATCTTGTGCACCCATTGCACCCTGCCCTGGACCAAGAGGTCTTGGTCTTGCTCACCTATGATTGATTGCTTCCTAAGCCCCCACATCCTTCTGCCACTCCTTGCTGACAGCTCTACCCATGATTACTAACTCCTTTGTGTCCCAGTTTCGGCAAGACCCAACTGATCCACGTCACACGGTCCTGCTCTTTGGGGAAGAATTCTATTGCTCTGGCCCTTGAAGGTTTGTGCTTGAATTTAAGCCAATTCACCCAAAGCATTTGTGCAGCCATGCCTCTTGAGCCTTGGATGGCACGTCAATCTGTCAAGCCATCCTTTTGATTCAAAGCGTGAGTTCAGTATGTAGCCTGCCCCCCCCTTTTTGTCTTTGACAGAAACAAATCAAAAGGAAACATGCAGTGCACACATTCATGTTGGATTCTGATGTAGAATTAAAGAATCTCACTCTGAGGTAGCCTTCTATAATGCTTATTTAAAAACTATTATACATATGTATGTGGATTTTTTTGTGTTTTTTGCGCTTTTTAATTGGTTTTTTTAAAATATATATATATATATAAAAGTGCTCAAATAGAATGCTTTCTAGTGTTTGGTCTTTTCATGTTTATTTCTGGTAGTGGTGGAAAACATGGAAAAATAAATGTGAATGTAGGTATACACTTGGTTGCTTTTCTTTATGGAAACACATCTAAAAACCTTTCTTCGTGATTTATATTTTGACCCAACATGGCACAAGGTTGACCTAGCCCAATATAAGAAACAATGGCTTCTGTTCAACTGGCACAATCAATTTCTTCAGTTGTCATTAGATAATACCACAATAGGTCCTTTGTCCAATCCAGCTGATTTCAGGAGGCTTCCTAGCTTGAGTTAAAAGAACTTGTTGTGGCCTCCAGTAAAATTCACGTACATGAGTAGGGATCCAAACCCAGTCAAATTGCCATTTCTAAAGTATTAGGAGTGTTTTATTATATTTTTAGAATAGCATGTCTATAAAACAAAACAAAACAAAATTATAGTTATGAATGCCAGCTGGGGGAAAAAAAACACATTTTTGAAATAGTTTGCCTGTGGCTACAGGGTGCCTGACTACCCTCTGCTTTGGATAAAAAATGATCAATAGTGAACATTTGGAATGAATATTGTTAAGAAGAACTTCACATGCTGAAAAGAGACTGTTTTAATTGAAAAAAAGGTAGATGAGAAATCACAGAGATCCTGTTGGGGCAAACAGAGACAAAAAAATATATATGAAGCAATGCTATCAAAATAGGCATCAAATATAAGGCACTCTAAATGCAAAAATTAAAACTGAAAACAGCATTTCTAACTGGTGCTGTGCGCCAGAAAATATTCTGATCTACAGAGCAATGTGTGTTTGTCTTTGCCCCATTATACTTCGTCATTCCAAATAACTTATTCTATACTGCAGACAATTTCATAAATGGATATATTTTTAAAACTCTTGACAATTATTATAACATTAGTTAGGGGTATGTATTGACCTCCTTCGTATGCCTACTTCGTAGACTTGTTATGGATGCTATTGCACTAAAATGTTCCAAACATGAAATCTCACTGTGAGCCATAACATGATATGCAATGCAATCCCTAAGCAGGTTTATTTAGAAGTAAGTCCCACCAAGTTAATCGGCCTTCTCTTCTAGTAATGGTGGACCAAACCTTAATGTGCATGGGTGATGAGTGATGTGTGTGCACATGATTTCTACCCATTAAATTTGGGTAAGGTTGAATTTCAACTATCACTGATGTGCATTCCTCATTTCCCCTAGGAGATTGAAAAGAAAGCAAAAGAAAAAGATAAAATAAACACAAATCCCTCAAAAGCAAACCTTGAAATGCAGAGATGTATAGAAATATTGTATGATCTGAATGTATCAATTTGGATTTTTTTCCCCCTACTACTTCAATAAATCCAAGTCATGGAAGAACTGATAACATGTATATTTATATATTTATATTTATGTGCATTTCTTTCTGTCTATCTACATATTTTTTGTTGTAGATGGATAGAGAGAGAATGAGAGAGATATACATATATTTATAATAGAAAGAGAAATGTGTGTTAGTAGCAGCTTTATACTTGCGCTTCCCTGTTGATTCCAAAAGAAATAAAAACAAAATCTTCCATATGTAGATTAACTGATTTATATTTCGTTGAAAAAAAAATCAAATGTAAAAGCAATACCTAAATGAGAATGTGGTCCTGGAGATAAATATAGGGTTGCACAAAAATGTGCAAATTGTCAAAATTATTTAACATTTCTACAGCGAGATATTACAGGTAACAGTTCTACAGCATAAAAAAAAACTACAATTCAGAAACAAACAAAAAAAATTGAACAGGTATGCAATTTTTGTTTGAATTTACTTGATTGAATGATAAACTTTTGTGTTGTTGTTTTTTAAAAAAAGGAAAAAAGTTTACACAGTTAAAAATGAAGCACAGGTCAGCAGTATCTTTACAATACTAGAAAACTAAATCAAGGACTTTCTTTTCAAACATTTGCCCTTTGCCCTCCCAACCCCAAAGGTTACTGATGAGCAATATGGTAGGAAGGGGAGATGTTGGAACCAAGAGGTGGTTTTGTTCTGGAGGAGCCGGGATGGGCCTCCCGACGAACATCTGGCGCTGAATTGCAGAAACCTAACGTTGGCATCGTTCATTATCATGCGGTCCTGAACGAGATGATCGTCCTTGGAAGGAATGTCCTCTTCCCCTTTCATTCAAATCCAATCAAAACGGAATCTTGGGATCTCTGTAAACTGAAATCCTTCCGGTGCCTCAATCCAGTCAAGTTTCTTTAATTATGTTTCTGGTTAAGTTTACTGATGACTGAATTGTTGGTTCACCCGGCAGTTTTTTTTTCCTGTTAATATGTCCCACTAATTGGTCTTTAATTTAAAGTTAAGTACTTCTCAAGCACACTGTATGGCTCAGAAGAGGCTCTCTGGATCTTAAAGGGCCTGTAGTTAAAACAATCCAGGGTGGGTCAGCGTTTCTCCATTTGTTTTTACGTTGCATAGTGATCAAAGCTGCCCAGATATTCTAGTGCAGCTCGATAGCAGAACTGATACTGATCCTTGGGAAAGAGAGAGGAAGAGAGAGACAGAAATTTGGGTTAAAATAAATATATTTGTTCAGCAAAATTACATTGACAATTTTCTAATCCTGATTTAAGAGAACAGAAAAAGGGGTCACTTTCTCTGTTTACAGAAGCTCTGTCTTTCCTTACCTTTTCACATTTATAGGGGATCAGGATAATTTTGGCTTAAAAGCTAATCAGAGTGGCTATTTCTGTGTAAACAAAAATGTCAGATCCTTGGCACATATATCCTAAATGTGATGTATATGCTTAACATTCATCTTCATAGTAGCCACTAAAGTACTGTGTCTGAATTATAGAATTACGGACCGGAAAGGGAGATTGGCCATCTCATCCCCAGCCTTTCAGTTCAGATCTACAAGAAGGTCTGGTTTCAGGCAGTATGGGTAGAATGTCACAAGTAGAATGTCCAACTGGTGCCTCCAGCAAGTGATCCATTGTTTTTTAGGTAGATTAGCTCAAAGCCAGGCCCTCCAGCACTTTGGGGTGTAATCTTAATTGCAGAAAACCACAAAAAGCAGGAAGACTACTTCAGAATATCCTGCTCTGTGCACCTTGAAAGAGAGTATCTCACTAGATTGACTAATCACTTTCAGACAAATCACTGAAAGAAGATAAGCTAGATAGTTGAGTCTGAAAAGATATTTTTCATTTGGTCTAGTGGTTAAGGCACCAGGCTAAGAAGTGGGAGACTGTGAGTCTAGTCCTGTCTTAGCCATGGAAGTCTGCTGGGTGACCTTGGACCACTCATTCTCTGCCCAAATCACATCACAGGGTTGTTGTGAGGAAAATAGGAGGACAAAGGTGTGTTGAATATGTTCACTACTTTGAGTTGTAGTAGATGCACAGAATATCTTTTTCCTTTTTTTCTTTGTTTTTAGTATTTAACCTTTGATCTATCTATCTATCTATCTATCTATCTATCTGTCTGTCTGTCTGTCTGTCTGTCTGTCTGCCTGCCTGCCTGCCTGCCTGCCTGCCTGCCTGCCTGCCTGCCTGCCTGCCTGCCTGCCTGCCTGCCTGCCTATCTATCTATCTATCTATCTATCTATCTATCTATCTATCTATCTATCTATCTATCTATCTATCTATCTATCTATCTATCTATCTATCATCTATATTTATTGTCTCTCTCACATTACATAATTATTTAATGAAGACCTCAGTACCAGGTAACTAATTCATGACTATTATACAAAAATTACTTTGATGTAATCTGTATTATTTTTTATCTTAATATTATATTTAATCTTGTATGAAGAAGTCTAATAATTTTATGCTTGTAACATTGACAGAACATTTTTTTCTTTATATTTAAAATTCTAAATTATCCAACCAATAGAATCGCAATAACTTTAATTAATACTGTACAAATATCTTTGCCCCAAAATAACGTAAGGCATTAACATATATAACAAGATAATAAAGAGGGAAAAAATTCTTCTGGTCCCATAGCATTGTGGTACTTCTTCATTTTATGGATTGTTACTTCCACCTCCTCCTTTTCTTCTCCCTGTTTCCCTAAGCTGCCCCCTTCTTTGCAGCAACAGATTTTTGCTGAATGCAAAGTAAAGTAAGGGAGAGGATCTTTTGGCTGTTATTGTGAAAACAATGTGAATTAAGAGAAAGGAATTCTAAGGTGAATCTAGAGGGCAAGGATTGGGGGTGGGGAAATCTTGTTTTAAAGTCTTACTTGGATGGCCTTTTCAGATAAGAAATAAAAAATGCAGGCCCTTGCCATTTTGTGTCTCTTTCGGGGAGAACAGAAGCTCCCAAATAATCAGGAATTCGGACAATGCAGGGATTTCCATCACACATGGGGCTTTACTTAAATGCAAGTGGACCCAATCCTCTGAAAATATTTGGGGTCAAGCTGGGAGGTTCAGGTGTTGGAAGTTTGCTGGATACCTACGATAGGGCTAAATAGCTTGCAGTATGCGAAAAAGCACTGGAGTTTGACATCTGCATGGATTTCTCTCACTAGGCAAAGCATATTTTATGAAAATGACTTATGTGGGTTCTCCTCTTCTACTTTGGGATTCTCCATATTGCAAGAATGGTCATATCTGGTTTATCACACACAGAGAGACACACACACAGGCACTCACAAATCAGCAATGTAGCTAGTATGACTTTGAATTCACATTAATAGCTATTGAATCACTGTTATTCCCCAAAAGATTTAAAAAAAAACCCAAGAAAAATAAAAAAACCCAAGCTACACAGTATTAAACCATTTCTTAGATGTAAAAAGAAAGCATTACAAATCTCAGAGGAAAATTTCAAGTCTTTTGTTACAAGGGTTGAGCCCGTTATATACAAACATATCTCCTGGTTTTGTTTTCTTTCTAGAAGTTTTGGCTGAATGTCTTCCTCTGATAGTATAAACATTAGGATTGGGGTAGTATGATATTGAAGTCCCTACTGGTATTATAGTAATAAATTATCCTATTATAAAGATATCAGAGTTCTTAGGCATTGCCAAGACAGGAAAGTCCATAGTGAGCTGTAAAGTGAGCAGATAAGCTCTCCTCCTATGTTAATGAAGCTCAAGGACTGAGAAAAGAGGTGAGAAAACCTGTCAAATGAGGAAAAATAATAATAAACAGATGCAACTGCTAAACCAAATTTTTGGGGCAAGGTCTTCATATTTCAGAGAACTTAGTAACCAAGACCAACTGCTGTTTCATCACCACATCTATAATACAATGTGGATCTGTTTTCCCCTCCCTCCCTCACCCCTGGTAAAGAAGCAGCAATGGAAAACAAAAATAAAATTAAAAAGGGGCATTCTTTTAAACTTGGTGACCTACTTTTTTTTTGTCAAATCGTATCAGGTCACAGAAGGGTACTGACATTGCTCAGATTGATATCCACTTATTATATCTCTCTTGTTCTTTTTGAAAACCTTTTCAGTTTTATTAAAGTTCATCATGCCTCTTTTGTGAAACTTAAATATAATTTTTTTCATTTCTACAATACACTGATAAATTCCTAAGAGGTTTGCCACTGTGTATGAATATCACAAAATGTAAAACTTAGGAAAAAAAGGACCCATGCCAAAATTTTTCCAAAATTTATTTAACCTTCAATCATATTTATTAATTTATATCCTGCCTTTATTATTTTTACAAACAACTCAAACAACTTACTTCCTCCTCCTAATTTCCCCACAACAACAACTCTGTGAGGTAAGTTGAGCTGAGAGTGTGTGACTGACCCAAGATCACCCAGCTGGCTTCCATGGCTAAGGCAGGATTAGAACTCGTGGTCTTCTGTGCTCTACCCTGGTGTCTTAACCACTAGACCCTGGAAAATTGCAGTGGACAACTGGGTGATACTGAAACCATCCCCAGTTGTAACCCTTTCAGTCCTCACAGGAAGTAAATAAAGAGGTGCTGCTTTCTTTTCTTCTGATCCTGCCTTATATTTCAGGGGAAGTCTTCATTGTTTTAAGCATCATTCAATGAAAGAATGAAAATACTCCATTTGTAGGCTTCTACATTGGCTTATGTTACAAAATATAAATAACAAATAGCAAAGTAAAATATATATTTGATCATTACTCTATTCATGTATATATGGATGGGTGTGTGTTTATGTAGAAAACTGTTTTTCCTCACCTCTGTTTGTACCATGGCTGGCCGCTGCGTCCTTAACATTTTGACAGTCTGGAAAATATCTACAACACCTTCATATCTCATTCGTTCCAACACAATGCTTAGGGTTATGAACACACCAGTTCTTCCAACACCCGCACTAGAAAGAAAGAAAGAAAGAAAGAAAGAAAGAAAGAAAGAAAGAAAGAGAGAGAGAGAGAGAGAGAGAGAGAGAGAAAGAAAGAAAGAAAGAAAGAAAGAAAGAAAGAAAGAAAGAAAGAAAGAAAGAAAGAAAGAAAGAAAGAAAGAAAGAAAGAAAGAAAAGCAAAATTTAGTTGAAAGCTAAACTGTGGATGGAATATAGCATATGTATACAAGTTCCATATATAAATTGAACATGTAAATCACATTTTTGCAAGGTGACTATTTTCTGCTAAGCCAAATTCTGAATATGATTTAAAGAAGCTCAGTTTTTGATTGGGAGTAGAAGAATTAGGAGATCTTTATCAACAGAGATAATTGAAAATCATTTTTTAAAGCATACACCTGCAAATACAGCTGACAGCAGAAGAACTACATTTAGCTAAAAGATGACACACAAATTGTATTTGAAACTATTTTGAGACAGCAATTTTTCTAGTACCAATTAAAAGGTTAACATTACTGGATGTTGGGCATCTCTTCCAAATTATTGTATCAGGCTGCTGGCCTAAGTGTATGACAACATGGCTAATAATGCAAAATATTAACTAACTGATGGGATAAAATCTTGGAATGTTCAGATTAAAATAATGATTTCAAGTTATCATTGTTTATCTTAAATGGAAAGAAACTGAAAGCAGGATTCTGCCATCTTTGCCTCAAACCAGTCTATGTCAATAACTACAATAAATGAAGAACAAATGTTACGATTACTTTTTCCTCTTTTTCTTACAAGAAATCTATTAAGGGGATTATATAAATGGTTGTATTGTAGATACAGTTTTTTGATCTGTACAAATAAACTAGGAAAGCAAACACTGTTGCTATGATAAGAGGTTTTCAGCTAATGATTTTTCTAATCTCTCTTTCTCTCTCTGATTATATGCCATGAATTATCAGTATGTATTTACTCTTAGTGATCTACTCTTTCTGCAGAATAATCTATCCCCAACCAGGTCCTTTGGATTTTGCAAAAGTGTACCCATTGATGCTGTAATTGAGTCTCCCCAGCTTGTTGCTGACTGTCTTTTTTCTCTTTCCTGCCATTTTCCCTGGATACATACATATGCACAGACAATCACACATAACTGTATGAAGAAATGTGAGTGCAAGTTGAACAAATATCCATCCTAGGAAGGAACAGTACATACCAGCATGTTGGAGATGTGACACGTTCACATAAACGAAATAAAAAAAAATTGGGACTCTATAGTGCACTTTATAATTTGGGACATTGATAATGCAACTTACCATTGGAATATATGTTGACTATGCAGTTATGTCTTGAAGCATTAACTAAATAGGATCAGTACTTATCTTTTACTCTGTCAAAAATATTTTACAGAGCTAATCCTTTAATCATAATATCTTAATTCATAAATCTGCTGTACTTTTTGGAAGGATGCAAAAATGAATTTTCTGCATACTATTCACATCTAATACATAATAGTTTGCTATGTATTCCTCCCATTGACTCAATTCTTTAGACTATTAGCTTTTTCCTCCATGTATAGAAAACATAGTTATGAAATCATATCACATCAACTGAATCAACATTTTTGAACAGGCATTCTTTCTATGGGTGCAGAATTGCTGTACACATTTTGAAAAATCCAGAGAGAGATTATCTTTATTCTGCAGTTCCTGATAATTTCTATGGCTGTTTCTGTCCATTTTTATACATCTTTTGCTGATAATCTTTTATCTTCTACTTCTGATAATCTTTTATCTTCTACTTCTGTTCCTCCCTAGTCTTTCACAAAGACTGAATATTAGAGTTCTATAGTCCATAAGAAAGAATCTAGTTGCAGAATTGCCAGCACTGGAAATTGTATAAGTCATTGTATAAGTCTTGCAAGTCTTTGCATTAGGTTGCACACAATTTTATTGAACATATGATTATCAAATTAAAATATTAGCTTTTGCAATCCATAAAGCAAATTGATTAAGTAAAGACAAAAGATTACAGTTATGATAATCTTTATTACAGTCACTGAGCTGTCCATACGCAAAAGATGTTCTTAGGTATTCTGTAGGATTGTATTTAAAAAAATGTTCCCCTGGCTTGTCCCGTTTATATTCAACAAAACAATGGAATATTATTTTTCTAAGCTTTACTAGAGAAAATAAAACTCAGAGATAATTGTCACCTACAACCTTTTGCTTCACACAGGGATTTGTAGGAATATTAGCAGTAGCATTGTTGACAGATGGCTGTCTGGATTCCAGTTAAATGTCTCTTGCAAAAAAAAACCTTGTTTTTTTTTCTGTTGACCCATGCTAGATCTGCTGCATGGTTAACTATGCTGTTTATTGTCATACTTCTGTAGATGGGAAATGGAAACTGTCAGATAATGGCTTGAATAAGGTCACACTGTCAGCTCAATGCTGACATGACATTTGAACCATCTCATATTTGCTTCCCCATGCCTATATTTCTACTTTGGCATGTTATTGCCATCATTAAACCTGTTGTCATTTTAATCAAACAATATTTAGCATCTGCGTTTCTTTCTCTTACCTACAGTGAACCGAAATTGGCCCGTCTTGTCCAAACTGCTCTTTTGTTTTATGAACTTGACCAATGAAGTCTATAAACCCTTCTCCCGATTTTGGCACTCCTTGTTCAGGCCAGTCAGTGAACTGGAATTGCCTCACTGTTCGGGACTGGCCATCCTTGAATGAAAAGCAGACATATCAGATGGAAAGTACAGCAGAAGACGAGATGTTTAACATTCTTTAGTTTTGGGGATCATATATTGACAAGAAAAGTGATCTGCAATAAAATGAAGATAGTTTTCCTGCAATCTAACTGCAGTCATGATGAGGTTTGCCTTTTGCTCCTTTTTTTGCCATTAACAGAACCACAGTGACACAAGAGTGCAATTTCATTAACCACAGTGATGCTCAAATTATTCTCTGCCCTGGAGAGGATATTTCTGACATTTAAATCCTGGAAAAGCAAAGTCTGCAGAAAGGATAAAATCAGACAGGCCTGGAGGAAACTTGATTTTGAAGCAATACCAACAAACACAAAAACATCTTTCTCAACTAGTTACTGTAAGGTCTTCCTTCATGTCCCTTTAAATGTGTTCCTCTGTTGGTCTAGCCAAGCCATTTGAATGTTTATGGAAAGGATTCTTTTGTTACTAGTTTGTCTTCATGCTAATTCTTTCTTTCTACACAGAATCTATCTCTCTATCAAAGCATCATGAAAATGATAGTGAAGCCAGCCTAAAGTACTAAAGAATATTCTTATTCACACAATTGCTGAAATAATTGCAATTCTGGATCCATCTCGTAAACAAAGATTTGAAGAAACTTCTTTGCAGGCAGACAACAGAAACAAAGTGAACTCATATAATTCAAGCTAGCTTTATAAAATTAACATTGTTATTGAAGCATCTGCTTGCATATACCTACGGGTAACAATTTCATGCATTTTGATATCCTAAGAAAAATATAAAAGAATACCAAATTCCTTCTTCCAGCTGACAAGTGAGTGGTTTTTTTATATCTTAGTTTTTTGATTAGGATTGTAAATCATGAGTGTAGTTTATAATAGTGGCTTTTGTGACATGGACACCTGGCTAATTAGGGCTATCTTTACATGTCTCACTTTCTTTTCTTTTTTTTATTTCAAAATTTTTATTATTTTCAAATATAACAAAATATAAACATGAACTTGATGCATATAAATACAAAACATCAATACACAAAGGAAAAAATACTTTACGGGTGATCCCGGCTGCCCCCTCCCTGCTTCCCCCTCTTTCACCTACCAAACCTTCCTCCCTCTAGACTCTCAACCACTCCACCTTCCTCCTTCCACTCCCTACTTCCCAACCTCTTTCTCAAGCACCAACCAGAAGCAGTTTGGGGTACATGTCTCACTTTCTAACCATCCATAGGGTCGCTAGCATTTTTGATTGCCATTATATCAATTAAGTGACCCAGCAAGGTGAACTAGATCTTATCAAAATGAAGACATCAACTCCTTTATAATTTCTAGCAATACCTTGGAAAAAGTTATGGTTATAGTAATTGGCAGCAAGAGAACAGATTATATATCAAAGGATTTGACCAACCTGCCTCAACTGCTCTGCTGACTTGTCTTCGTATACTCTCAGACTATTGAATCTGACATTTAATAGAAATGACACAAATTGAACTATTGCTGTTAACCTTCATGCCTTCTGGATACCTTCTACATTCTGAATGCATCCACTTTCTAGCCATGGTAGGAGAATCTGCAGATGCCGTGTCGCTGTGCCTGCAAGCTATAATTGAAGCACGGTGCACAAGAGGAGGAGGGGAAAACTACTGCTAGATGCCAATTGCTTAAAATGGCACTTTCCGCAGAATGAAACCAATGAAGAATCTCAGTGATGAACGGGAATTCTTATAAAGCAGATTGGAAGCTGTAGGCAAGGGAAAAAGAAAACATTCTCCTACTAAAGCTTTCAGTTATGATTGCCTTGACACGGAGGTGAATATAACTTGCCTCAAATAGAAAAGCAACACAAAAATGATACCTTGCACTTCGTGTCATTATTATTCAAATTCTGCAGTAGGTTATTCAGCAACAACATGTAGATGGGAAGGGCGCCATTATATTCCTGTAATCAGTAGAGCCCAATGAAATATGAAAAGTGTTTCTGATTCTGGGGAATAATTGAGGTGAATTTGATGGGTAACTTGGTACTATCATCTTTGGGCAAATTTTCAGATCTCAAAAAGCCAGATTAACAATCTCTCCATCTTTAATTATTGATATTTTTTAATGCTTGTATGGTGCCAGTGAATTAGCACAAGCACGTAGGAAATAAACATTGTTCTCACTGATGATGAGAAAAATTACATCCTTAAATTTAATGGGATGCTATCTTTTAGTAGTCACCCCTCAAAATCCAAAGATTATATTACTTAATTTGGATGAGATCCTCTAGCACAGACATGTCAAACTTGTGACGTAATGTATCGGGACTGTTTTGCCATTGCCGGCAATGGGGTGGGCGTGGCTTCTTTGTGACGCATCCAGCCTGCGGGCCGGCAGTTTGATACCCCTGCTCTAGCACTATTGTGGAGTTTAGTTCTACCTGACTCTAGGACTTAGGAGGCCATGTTAACAAAGTGCACACATACCTGATTCTATTTGAAATCCAGCCTGATGAACTAAAAGGTTATTTGGATTTGGGTTGCCTGTTGCTATGGCCAATGAAATGCCTTTGGAAGAGATTATACTAATGACAGAAAGTGATTTACTATTAACATGTTGTGTGCAGCTCCTCTAACTCACTGGTCACTTACAAGGAATTTTAGGAATGTTTAAACTTTCCCAAGAAATACAGACCACATCACAAGGGCTAATACAAGACTTTCACATTAGATAAAACTATTTTCACAAGGACATTATATTCCTCAGTTATCATAGCTGAAAGAAAAAGATTGACAATTTAATTTTATGGGAATTTTGTTGCTATTTGCAACACATGTACAAACCAGAATAATGAGCCCAATAATGTGTACTGCATTATGTTAATCCTTTAGGTTTATACATATGCAGGGTTTTCTGTCATTTATGATCCATGCTGAACAAATGGTGAACTTTATCCTCAATTCCTAGCTCTAGCACGGCAAGGAGAGGCTTGAAACTGACTAAATAATTCTTGTTAGGAAAATCCACAAACTCAGAAGGTGACAGAGGTTGAGAAAGATATGATCATTGTGTACTTCACTCAGAATTGAAATAATAATTATGTAACAATGGTTAATTTCACTTTCCTTATCACAGAATTTTAGTTACTTACCTTAGTGTAAAATTGAGGACAAATGTGGCTAATCTTTTGGAATGAAATCCATTTTAACCTAGTAAAACCCCATATGTAAAAAATATGCATGTAATAACCCCTTCTGGGCAACTCTCTGCATAAAGGCACACACGTTAGGATAGGAGAAACTTTCATTCGCAACTTTGAACTGGGTAGGATTCAGTGAAATCATCCCCTTCAATCTTGAATCTTCATTTTTAAAGCCTTCAAATTACTTTTGTAATTCAATGGTCTTTAGCCCCTGCATACCTCTATATGTTTATCAAATAGCATCGACTAAATTTGCACATGTGATAGCTTTGTAGAATAACCTTCAATATGGTCTGGACATTCAGTTAAATATTGCTCCTGCTGCAGTTAATATCCCAAATGCGGTACTTTACATTCTCCCACAGAAACCAACTCTAAGGAAAACAGAGTTACATCAGGTTAAATTTGTTTGTAACTGAATAGCCACAGCCTAAGTTTTGCCGAGAATATTTTCTCAGCTTATACCAATACATTCTCCATAGGAATCGTGCTGTGCTGCCATCCTTACTACTGATTTGGGGAATATGATAAATAGGTCTGTGTGACTTGATTGTTTAATGTCAGAAGGTATATACAAAGGTATAGAAATGTCATGACACTGGGATCTTGCCTTAGTGAGCCAGTTTTTACAGTGCCAGGTTGGTTTCAATGTCAGGGGTACGCAATGTCCATTGATTGTATCCTGCTCTGTAGGGTATGAGTGGGACGCTGTCCATTTTGGAAAGGAGCTTTAGGAATTTAATATCAGTAAAATGGGTCTCAAAAGTGCTTTTTTTTTTCCTTGAAAAGGCAATTGGACTGTTTTTTCCTTCAGGACGAACAAAATATTTCATTTCTCAGCCAAGAACCGTTGTGATGGTGGGGGTGGGGAGGGATGGAGGATAGGTACTGACAAGTGAGACTTGGTAATGGGAGATAGAAGGATAGATTCTGACCAGATGGTGGTGGGGATGGGGAATGGAAGGATTGTATTTCTTGCAATTGGACTGCAAGAAATACAATCCTTCCATTTCCTCCCCCCCAACCACTCGCCTTCTGAAAAAAAAACCAAAACACTTTTGAGACAAGTGATCTGGATGACTGAGTATCTCCACTGAGTAAAATGAGTCTCTTCATTGGCTTCAAAGCTTCATCCATTAAAGACTTTAAACTAATGCCTTAAAAAGTATTCTGTATTTGGTCCCTACTCTTTAGGGCTATCACAAAAGGGAGGCTGAGGACCATATGTGGGCCCCAAATTGCACTTTTTCCACTCCTTGTTAAAGCTTTCCACAATCTTTATGAACATACTGTAAAAGCCAGCAAATATGTTTTATCAACAATTAATTCTCGTTGTAATGGTCCCCTAAATGTTAGCTCAATGGACAACATAGTAATAATATTTTATAGTCATGCAATACCTTTCAGGTGATCAGAATGATTTTCATACATAATTTCAGTAACAAAAGACACATAAACATTTGACTTTAATAGTGTATTTCACTGCAAACTTCCATTGCAGCTGCCACTACAAAATATGTAATCACCACTCTCAAAAGCTTGTAATGGGATGTCTGTCCAAAAGACTGATTTCATTTTATTTTCAGGGTAATTAGGACTGCAACCTTTAAAAGACAAAGCTAATTTAAACACTTTGAATGAGCATTTATTTTTAACGAGAGAATGAAGTAGATGCTAGGTTTCAGTGTTAAGAAAATAAATCCAACCTTGATTAAACTCGTTGGAGCCTAATTCTACAATAACCACCTATACGAAAATCTCCCCACTGAAATGAAAAGACATCAAATGCTTGGCTTTGGCTACGGGACTTTACTTCTTATTTCTTTTGCCAAGCAAAACTCTATTCTCTAAGCTTGAAATGGTGGCTCGAAGAATCTTTCATGTGGCTGTCTCTTCTTTAGGTTAATAATAATAGTAATAGGGTTTTTTTTGTGGCAAAGAAACTGGAATTTGAGGATGTCCTTGCAAGAGAATACTCTGGTAAGTTTCTCTAATCATTATTATTGCTACAGGGCTTCCAGAGATAGAGAAGGGTAAGGATTTATCCTGCCATCAAGTGTGAAGTATTACATACAAATCACAGCTTGAAAATGGCTAGAGCAGGGTCTATAAAAATGTTTATATACAGTTAATCTTATATCAGCCGATGAACCTTTGACTTAGCCTTTCAAGATAAGAAACGTAAAATGAAAATTAGCCAGTTGGGGTCATGGCATTGTAGCTCTTCTCTGCAGACAGATTAGAAAGCTGAGGAATAAGCTATGCCAAGAATCAAATTATAATGTGCAAAGCCTGTCAAGCTTCCCTCAAGAATGCTATTTGCTCTGCAGATTTTAAATCACACCACATTAACCTTCAGGCTCACATGACTTAAGGGCTGTTGCTGAACAGTAACATCTTTGCAGTCTTGGACAAAGATTCGTTAAAAAAAAGTATTGAAAAATAAGTCCCACCGAGGGAAGCGGTGGAAAGGATGAATAGTAGCTCGGTCTTTTAATTAGTCAATCCCTTTCCAGACCTAAACGTTACATATTTTTTTTCACACTGCTGAACAAATACTATGAATGAGAATCATTCATTTTCCTAAAAACTTCAGTGTTTTGGAAATTGCCTCAAGCTCAGTATTGACCATTTTACAGCACTGACTGTATGGTTTGAGATTAGAAAGCCAAATATTATGGTGCTACCAGTCCTTCCTTTATACAGCAGTAAGTAGCAGCAGTACTGGATCATTTTTATTTCATCCCAGGGCCTTTGGCTTCTGAAATAAAAGTGGTGGTCTAATTTATTCCTCTCATCCGAGACACCCTTCGACTTATTCATTTATGTGTTTAACATAAGTAGTGAGATTCTTTCATATGTATCAGGAAAGAATTGAAAAATAATATGCTGGATAAAAAGACCTCTATAGGCTAAAATGGTCCAAATCCTGGGGGTCCACTTTCCTTAAAGAATCAGCATCTTGATTCACAGCTCTGGGATGCACTTGGACTGTCTGGTGAACTACAGATAATTAATGGCTTTGACCTGGCTTCTCTCTGCTTGTAAATCATTCTGCAACTATCTGGAGTATGGTGTACAATAGGCTGTGTAGTTTCCCGCAAAGTACATTTCTGACATATGCTCTGCATTGGATTGTTTTCAAGGAGGAAGTGAAAGTACAGCTGGAATCAACTGAATCATATAGATGCAGACGACTTTCAAGCACTCTACATATTTAATTCCACATGGGCTGTAATAAATTTTAAACTGTCCAAAATCCTAAATGACTTGGGACCAAGTTATTGAGAGGATAACTTTCACTTGGTTCACCCTGCCAATAGGTTAAAATTGATCTCAGCAGTTATTCTCAAGTATATCTAATGTTAAAACTGTCCAGGCTGACATGCAAAGAAAATCCCTGTGGGGAATCCCAAAACCATGGAATTGCTTTTCTATTGATTTTTGCTTCACCTATGGGTTATTGCCTTTTCTATCGCTTTTGACCAACATCTGACTTAAATTATGTACTACAGAACAGCTTCTCACGTTTTGCTATTTTTTTTTTTACTAATTATCCCTTTTGTAACTTACATCTTTGTGGATGTTGCTTTAAAAATACGAATACAATATGAAGTAAATGCATTTCCTTGATGCAGCTTCTCTTTGATGAACATAAGATGGGATTCCGTGTCTTCCCTCCTTCCGTCCCATTTCCAGGGCTGGCACAATTCTTCTCCTATCCCAGAGTGAACTGGCCAAACTAGGGAATGCCTCTTGCTTTCTGTTTAGATATGAGGCTGCAGTTCTAATGATATATAGCCGTGGTGGCGAACTTATGGCAGTGGGCACGCACGCCGTCGCACCAGTCCTAGGCCTTCAGCTGGGTTTTATAAAACCTTTTCGCTTTAGGCCTCCGCCGCCATGTGCAAAAAAAAAAAGGTTCAATCAATCAATCAATTTCAACTTCTCGCGGGGAAAAAAAAAAGATCTGGAATTGATTAATTGAACTTTTTAGTCACACCCAGTCTGCCACCACGGCCACCCAATGCACCACACCCACCCAATGGGCCACGCCCACCTGACACCGGATGATACATAAGTGGGTTTTGGGTTGCAGTTTGGGCACTCGGTCTCTAAAAGGTTCGCCATCATTGATATATAGTATAACTAGTTTACTGACCATGTGTGTGAAGGATTCCAAGAATATTTCCATTCCTACGGGGATAATGATTTTCACTGATCAGAGACTGGGACAAAAAAATTGGCTTCTAGATATGTTACAAAATACTGTTAGTAAAAAGCAAAACAAACATGTATAACAACAAAATGAAAGATATTTTAACATGTTGTCTTACCCGGGCATCTGTGACCTTGAATTCTCTTAGGATGTATTGTGGCATATTATATTCTGCCATAGGATCGACCACAAAATATTGATACCTGGCTGAGCGCTCTGCTGGCCAATACTGGTGGCACTTTTCCTATAAAAGCAAAAACTTTCAGTTCTTTGTTTAATTTACAGTTTTGTCCAATCCTGTTTTCCAAGGAGGCATATTTATTGTACTATTCAGAGTATTCCTGTTCTGAGAGGAAAAGGTTAACACAGTTATAAGATTTAAAGACTTGTTATATCAAAGCTTCATCTTTCTCCTGTTTCCTAAATAGATTTTTCTGGGAAGACCTGAGACACAAAGTTTTTCCCTAGCTCTCCAAAAGTTTAAACAGCTTTCTCAAGATTTTAAATGCTGCAATCAAATGAACAATGGGCAGGAATGATCAAGTAAATTAAATCCATTACTTTACTAACTCTTAGGTTTGGGTTACAAAAATGTACAAGGTATCTTTGAATCTGTGTATAAATCCTAGTACATCTTGCAAAGTGTATCTATTGACATATTTATCAGCAGTCCATCTGTCAAATGTTACTAATTTGAGTGTGAAATATATTTCCTAGGATTTCTATCATTTGAGATTAATTTCTGATTTGCCTTTTCAAAATTCAATTGCACTGAGTGCTTGGGACGATGTTCAGGAAATAATCTGGAAAGTTCTCTTAAAATATACTCACATCAAGCATCTGGAATCAATGCAAATTTTAGAAACTACTAGACACACCACAAAACCTCCTGAAAACACTTTGTATACACATTGGCTTGATTGTTTGAAGATCTGTTACTGATTATTGTTGCTGCTGCTGTTATTATTGCTGTTGCTATTTCTTTTTAACACCTATTTAAAGATGCTGATTCTCAAAGTCTTGATGATTTTAAGCAACTGGTATCCAAAGCAAACCAAATCAAACCAAACCAATAGCTTAAGTTAGCAACTTTATAGAGTTCTACTTATATTGTAAGAATATCCACAGATTGCTTGCTTTCCTCTGGGAACAAGTAGATAAGGTTTCATGGATCTGGTGGAGGGATGAGGAGGTCAGGCTTATGCCTCATGTAGCTGTGCAAAGATTTAAGGGTAATTTCCCACTTGAATCCTCCTTCTAGCCTGGCTGGCAGTTTCACAACAATCTGCTACTATGATATTTTAAAAGATAGCAATTCTGTCTCAGTTCTGATGAAGACCAGAATAAGCAAATAACATATTAGAACAATAATTTGGGACAGTGAATTAAAGAATTCCACAATACATTTGTTATAGGAAAGCAAAACATTTGGCTGAAGGTTACACAGGCACAAAACAAGTCTTCCTGGAAACACCTACATAGAACAAACAAAACTTAGAACAGCTTTTTGATGATGAATATGAGCACCGTTGCTAAAACATATGGGAGGGCTGGACATTCAGATTCAATGGTTTCAAAGAGACACAGGCTGCAATAGGAAGAAGGCGATGAAAAAAAAATAGATGCAGCTGAATCACACCTGTTTGAGGTTAGGATTTTGTTCCTCTTGGAGTGAGGTTTGTACTTTTTAGAACTCACTGAACCCTAGGCAGCCCTCCCCCACTCTTATATTCTTCAGCACTTATCAAATTCTGTTGATGATAAATGCTAAATTCTATTTAGCAACTCAAGTATGCCAGATTTATATATATATATTTGTTACTTCCACTCTATACAAAAAATGATCTAGAGCCATTATTGATACAGTATTTGGAGAAGGCAAACATTTAGTAACTTATAACATGTACAACCTGTTTAAATGTTACAAGGATATCTCTTTTTTCTACCAGAAAGGTCACAGAACTACAGTTCTTGTAAATGAACCAATGTGCATGATTTAAATATTGAAAAAATGACTTTGTGTTTAATTTTATTTTTCCCTTGTTCAATCAATTTTCAAATTTACAACTTATTCAGAAAATCTTTAGTACGAAACTTGGTGTAGACATGCTTAGTCTGAAACAGCACTCAAAAATCTCTGAGTCAAGTATTAGGATTTAGGCTCCCAACTTGCTGCTCAGGAAGTGAATGTGTTAGCATAAATTTTCCTTGGAATAGAATAGAATAGAATAGAATAGAATAGAATAGAATAGAATAGAATAACAGAGTTGGAAGGGACCTTGGAGGTCTTCTAGTCTAACCCCCTGGTTAGGCAGGAAACCCTATACCATTTCAGACAAATGGTTGTTCAATCTCTGCCCCTCTGATGTAAAAAAATCCTTAAAGAAGGCAAGAAATCTGTTAAGTCCGGAGAATAATGGCGCTTGAGACGAAGCATCTCCAACAAGTCTTTATTGTTTGCTTCCATTCTACGAACAACCAGAGCAGAGGCAAGCAGGCCTCTATTTATACCCTCTGATCCCCGGGCAAGTTCAACCAATCATGAGGCGGGCTTTTCCCGCCTTGTGCATGCGCACAAGGCTGGCGCCGCTCAGTCTGGTCCCGGGCAGCTTCTGCAAATGCCCGGGACTCTTGCAACGTCCCGAGCCTGCCTCTTGCAGGCTCAGGACACAACAAAATCAATATACTGCAAACCACATTAGTTTAATTTCTTAAGAGTTTGGAGGGCAGGGGGGTCTAAAGTAGATTCTATATGCTTTCCTGGAAAATAATGTGACCTTACATAGATCAAAAATATGCTCATCTGCCCAGAGCAATAACAACACAACAACAACAACAACAAAAGCAGATGTGGACAGACATGTCCAACAGATGGCTATTGTAAGACAAGTCATTCCTATGCAGCATATTCATTCCTACAGTATGTTATATCCCTATTATGACAAGCAGCCTTTATATATTTGTCAACCTGGTGCAATTGTAGGGTGGGCCAAATACCACACATAAAAGGGGTAGGACTTTGTTTGCAAGACAGTGACTACCACCTTGGCTATTTTTACTCTCCTAGTGGATACCCCATTGCCAATAGCCTTTTTTCTCATCAATCTATGTTAGTCCAAGGAAGGTTAGAAAGCTCTGGCTAGGACTTGTTAAGGGCCAACTGACTATTTTGTCCCTTATCAAGCTGTGTCTCAAAAACAAACCACTACTGATTATCTTAGACCGCATGCCTGAATGTGCCTTTCATCAAAAGTACTTTCTGCATAAGAAGCGATCTATCCTTTTATCCTGACATGCTAATTTTCAGTGTATAGTACAATAAAGTGATTCTTAATCGGTGGTCTGACTGACAAAGTGCAATCATTACCTTACTTTTGCACCCCAAACTACTGTTTGTGAGAGTGAAGGACTAAGCTTCTTTTGTGAACTAAATGTCTGCCTTTGTCTATACCAGTACATCCCTGTAGCTGCATGCGCAGGTGTAAAAGGGATCTTAGCAATTTGCTTTTCATTTTGCTTAGTGATAATTAGCAATAGCACTTAGACTTATATACTGCTTCATGGTGCTTTACAGCCCTCTCTAAGCGGTTTACAGAGTCAGCGTATTGCCCCCAACAATCTGGCTCTTCATTTTACCGACCTCGGAAGGATGGAAGGCAGAGTCAACCTTTAACCGGTCAGAACTGAATTCTTGGCAATTGGCAGAATTAGCCTGCAATAGTGCATTCTAACCAATTATGCCACCACCGCTCTTCTAATTAACAACTACATTAATAGAAACCGATCCAATAGAAGTAGCTGGGATAATTGCTTGTTCTTCCTATATTAATATAATTTTTGAGATTCTTTTTCTAGAATGTAAAAAAAAATGTAAAAACTTACCCTGCCCATTTCTCGTAGCTTAGTAAGCATGACTACAATGGTTGAATTGTGCTCCCAAAGCATTCTCCAGAAATCTTCTGTTGTTTCTGCCAAGGGTCCCTGTGTAGCTACATAGGCTTTTTGCTGCCTAAATGTAAAATGCAAAAATTAATATTTCTCAATCAAAAGACAGCAGGCTCTCTTGCTGCATATAAACATTCGACTGAAACATCATTCTAGCAAACAAATGGCTGCAAATTATTAATTGTAAGAATATTACAACATATTAAATGTTATTTAATCAAACCATATAGTTATTTTATTTTAGGAAGTTTGTGTAGGCAATTGTTCTGTTAATATTGTGATTTGTGCCTTTATCTTATTTAAGATTTAATGCAACTCTAATAGCTCAATTTTGTGTGTCACAAAAAGCACTTAGGAAACACTTAGTGGTACAGTTCCATTTTTACACTGAAGGCTGACTGTCACACAGTCTATTGAGCTTCTGACTTATAGCTACAAAGCAATTCTTCGTTAACTCTTTCAGTGATTCAAGAACTATAGCAAAAGTTCTGAAATCAGATCACAAAGATGGAAACGGAACAGGTTAGTTTATATTTTTAAGATGGCTAAGACAAATGGACATAGTTTTCTCTACAGCAGAACTTTATTATCTACACCATTTGATCCACATAATCAATAGTTACATAATATCTTTGGTGACCATCTAATGAATTTATCCTTAAGTCATCTGCTTTCTGTTTTATAGGAAAAATTCTGGAATTGGGATCTGAGTTAGATGAAACATCAATAGATTATATGTATAATTACAGGAAAATCCATAGTTTATTGCTATGTATAATTACAGGAAAATCCATAGTTTATTGCTATGATTCTCAGAAAGAGACATGGTCTAGCAAAACAAACAACAGCAATGTGAATTTCTTCTATGTGGTTAGTTAGGGGAAGAAACTGTATTGCTGGACAGAATACCGTAAGAATATGAAGAGAGCCAAAATGACACTTGCATAACGGCAAACTATATTTATGACCACTACAACATATGTAACTAGTACTTTTTTACATCAAAGAACTGGTTTTGTACCTGTATCCATCGATAAAACTGGCATTGATATAGTCAGAGCCCTCTACTCCTCTGATAGGTTGCAAACATATCCTTGTGGATTCATATGGCATAATATTAACAAGGCGATTTTTAAATTTATTACATGGAAGATTGGCACTGATAAATCTTGAAGTATGAGCTTTAGAGCTGGCTAGCCGCTGCAAGAGACAAAGAAGACTTGGGAATTGCTTTTGATAAAAAAAATTGGGACATTTTTAATAAATACATATTAGAACAGGTTCCGTATGGCATTCCACCCGATACAAATGAGATCTTCTAGTTAAATCTATAAAAGCAGCTGCTTTAATCCTAGAACAGTTTACTGTTGATTTTTTTCCAATGCAAAATGTATCACTATAAAAACGTGGAGACAAAATACCTTAAATTCCAATTCCATTCCTGTGACATTCTCTCCTGCTTCTATCTGTGTCAGCTTCTGAATATATGCATACAGGTTTCTGGCTGGCACTTCGGTATTTCCACAAGTCACTGCTTCAAGCAGTGCATCATGGATAAAAATGTATTGGTCCTCTGTTTGAACCATGTAATTTCTCTGGGCTCTCATTAGAGTTACATGGCCATAAATATCTACAGTTTTTTCATGTTTTATTCTCTCTAGCATGGCATCTATTACAATGAAACAGCCGGTCCTGCCAACTCCAGCACTGGAATAAAAAAAAGAAAGAAACCAACTTAAAAAAGGCATATAAAGACTGATAATATTTCAATTCATGATATATCTTGTCATATTGTCATGGCAACCACCACCAGCATCACCAGCATCACCAGCACCACCAGCAGCAGCATGGCAGTTCAACAGCAGAGCTGTAATTTAAGATCCCCGTTCCAGTTACTTCAAAAATCTGGAGAAGAGTTTCTCATTATAAGACGCTCATTCTTCCCAGACCTGATCAAGCATTTGCATTGTGCACACAACTGATATTGTCCCTGGATTCTACCTGTTCCACCTGAACAGGGAGGGGAGGGAACACCTATCGAGGATTCTTGACTGGACTTCCCATGATCATGAATAAAGTCCTCATTGAAATGCAAGTGCAGGTAATCCTCGTTTAGCCACTGCCTCATTTACAGTTACAACAGTGATGAAAAATGAATTTTATGACCAATGACTTTCACAAGTTGATAAAGCCAAGCTAAACAAAGGACAGAAGCATCGTGATTGCTCTTAGGAACTGCTTTGCTTAACAAATGAATTGCCGGTTCCAATTGTGATAATTGAATGAAGATCACCTCTACTCTCTTCCCAATATTTTGCTCTGAGATTAGGGATAAGAGGAGTGGGGGGACTGCTAGGCAGATGACACAGACAGAAAGTGGAACAACTCTCTATAAGCACAGCCCAGCTCTATCCTGAAATCAGTTCTAGTTTCTCACATCTTTAGGCACACGCCCTGAACAGAACACAAGATTTCAATATTAGCTTGAATTATCAGATGAATGAAATGCAACACAATCTCATCCCAGGGAAGCAGTTGCCATGCCAATTTTCTAACGGCGGTATGTCTGCCACTCCTTCGCACGTCACACTGAGAAATCATGAAGCAAAACCTGGAATGTGATTTTTATAATGGATTTCCCAAGAACACATCGTATGTTAGGATTGTAATTATACTGCATAAAGTTATATTACATGAGAGATTTTTTCTTCTTCTTTTAACGAGTCTGTAATCTCTTGCATCAGGGTGAAGTTGGGGCTGAGCGTTTTACTGGCCCTTCCAGACGCTTACGCAGAATTTGCAGCAGATATTTTCTCTTTACGCCCAGAGAGAAATATCTGCCACTACCTAGGATCGAACTTACAGCTTCCTGATTGTGAGGTGAGAGCTCCACCACTAGACAACCATACCGCTTATATTATATGAGAAGTATCACCTGAATAATGTGACCAGGCAGTGAATATGTTTTGCATTGTTTTAGCTGCATGAACTATTTTTGTTTATTCCAACTCAGTGTTACAATGTTACATAATCACTCTTATTAGCCATTTTCCTGAACTTCTACTTGACGCTTTAATGGTTCCAGGTTCCAGTCCTGGAACTTATCTTAGTAAAAATGCAGTTTAGAAATAAACCAATAATATATAAAAATGTTTTATGGAAAACATGCCAAATATGATGCATTCAATGGCTTAGGAAACCTCTTCTGCTTCTGAAACAATAGGAAGAAATCACCTTCTATGGCCATTAAACTGTTTGGAAGCTGCAGATCTTAACAAAGATTCTGTAACTGAAAATGAAAGTCACAGGGGACAGATTGGGACAATTTGCAGAATCCAAATTCCTGAGCAAATACTTCATTGATTTACCCTCTGAGCATATTTATTATCAAAATTCTGTGTTGCAGCACCATATGAATGCCATAAAAATTGTTCAACAATATGACTAAAAGGTTCTTAGTGTGTACTCTTTTTCATACATCTTAGGTCTTGTTTGATGCTGGACACTGTTCTGTTTTCTGCCTCATAATGAGCATATTTTTATTAATGCCTTGCATTAATAAAAAATTAATTAACCATTAATTAACTATGGACAAAAAATGGTAAGTGAGCACCTGTCCATCTTTGATGAGTTCAAATCACCAGGACCAGATGGATTACACCCTAGGGTTCTGAAGGAATTGGCAAACGTGATCTCAGAACCTCTGAACTATATTTTTCAAAGATCCTGGAGCACCAGGGAACTACCAGAGGACTGGAAAAGAGCTGATGTAGTTCCCATCTTCAAAAAAAGGGAAAAAAAAGAGATCCAGGAAACTACAGACCTATCAACCTGACCTGAATACCTGGGAAGATTTTGGAAAAGATAATCAAGCAATGAATCAGTGAACACCTAGAGGCAAACAAAGTCATAACCAAAAGGCAACATGGATTTGTCAAAAACAGATCATGCCAGAAAAATCTTATTGCATTCTTTGACAAAGTGACAAAATTAGTGGACCAGAGGAATGCTGTGGATATTATTTACTTGAACTCCAGTAAGACATTTGATAAAGTAGACCACAACCTACTACTTGGTAAGATAGAAAAATGTGGGTTAAATAGCATCACCACCAGATGGATTCATAACTGGCTGACCAATTGCACTCAACATGTAGTCCTCAATGGAACTGCATCTACATGGAGGGAAGTATGCAGTGGGGTACCCCAGGGCTCTGTGTTAGGCTCAGTACTCTTCAACATCTTCATCAATGATTTGGATGAGGGGATAGATGGGGAACTCAGCAGATTTGCAGATGACACCAAGCTGGTAGGAATAGCCAATACTCCAGAAGATAGGCTTAAGATACAGAAGGATCTTAACAGGCTTGAACATTGGGCCCTATCTAATGAAATGAAATTCAATGGTGAAAAGAGTACTACATTTAGGCAAAAAATCCAAATGCACAGGTATGGTATTGGTGGTACCTGGCTCAATAGTAGTAACTGTGAGAGGGATCTTGGAGTTCTAGTGGACAATCACTTAAACATGAGCCAGCAGTGTGCTGCACCTGCCAAAAAAGCGAACAGTATTAGGCTGCATTAACAGAGGGATAGAATCAAGATCACATAAGTGTTAATGCCACCTTATAATGCCTTGGTAAGCTCACACTTGGAATACTGTATCCAGTTTTGGTCACCACAATGTAAAAAGGATGTTGAGATTCTAGAAAAAGTGCAGAGAAGAGCAACAAAGATGATCAGAGAACTGGAGGCTAAAACATATAAACAACAGTTGCTGGAATTGGGTATGTCCAGTTTAATGAAAAGAAGGACTAGGGGTGACATGATAGCAGTGTTCCAATATCACAGGGGTTGCCCCAAAGAAGAGGGAGTCAAGCTATTTTCCAAAACACCTGAAGGCAGGACAAGAAGCAATGGATGGAAACTAATCAAGGAGAGGAACAGCCTAGAATTAAGGAGAAATTTCCTGACAGTTAGAACAATTAATCAGTGGAACAGAAGATGGAATGCTCCAACACTGGAGGCTTTTTAAGAAGAGTTTGGACAATCTGAAACGGTATAGGGTTTCCTGCCTGACCAGGGGGTTGGACTAGAAGATCTCCAAGGTCCCTTCCAACTCTGTTATTCTGTTCTGTTCTATTAAGTGTTCCAAAGGACAATTGGACTTTCTTCTTTTTTACTTGAGGACATTTTGCTTCTCATCCAAGAAGCTTCTTCAGTTCGAATTGAAGAAGCTTGAACTGGGGAGGCTTCTTGGGTGGAGGAATGGGGAAGGTCCAGTTGCCTTTTGAGAGAGGACCTTTGGGACAACCATGACCTGGATGATTGAGAATCTCCATTACAGATTTTATTATAATTTGCTTTCTAAATAAATATTAGAAAAATTGAAAGAAGAGATGCATGCCGTCAATAGTTTTCTATGCCGCAATCATTATTATCAACCACACTCGGAACTAAATCTCAAGAGCAAAATATTATATACTTGGCCTCTACTACAGAGATTTTTCATAGATGCAGCTTTATGAAGCTCTTACCAACAGATTGTGAAGAAAAACAATCATTGTGCTGAAGCTGGAATAATTATACAATAAATAGCTTTATTTTATTCCCTGGAGAGCTGCTGTATATAATCTTGCTTGCCTGGGATTTTATTTCTTAGGTATAATGGGTGGGCTGGGGAAAAAGACCACATCATTTTTGAGATACTTCATTCATTCACTATTGGAAGTTACTTTCCCTGAGGATGATATTCTTATGATCAGGAATATTATTCTATTATCATTTTTTTTCTCATTAAAAACAGCCTGCTTAAAAGGCACCATTGAAGCATCTTTTTAAAAAATATATAATATAGATTCTTTTATGTAGAGCAGATTGGGTATAGCAATTAAACTTCTGACCAAGAAACTAGGAGACTGTGAGTTCTAGTCCCACCTTAGGCATGGAAGCCAGATGGATGACTCTCTCTCTCTCAGTCCAAGCTGAGAGGTTATAGATGTGAAAAAAATAGGAGGAAGGAGTATTATGTATGTTTGCCACATTGTGTTACTTAAAAGTAGTAAAATATAAATATAAATATCAGTGACTCATTTCTAGAACCTAGAAATCCAACACAATCAGTTTCAATTAATTACGTATTAGAGAAATCATTCCAAACTATTAAAAAATGCTCTAAATGCTTAGATTTCATTAGAAGTGGCATCAAACAATAATTACTGGTTATTAACTCAATGAAATGTGGGGATTAATTAGCCATATTTCTCTTTTTGTGCGGGTTCAAATAAAATTTCTAGGCACAGAAACCCCCTTTTCAGTTAGCTTTCATTCATCTAGCTTCTTAAGTTATTTATTTTCCATCCACCAGCACTGACAGGGTATACATGATTTAAAGGAACAAACTGAAGGATTTGTTCTCTGTAATATAGAAAAGAGAAGTTCATCTTTAGGAACAGAGATTCTTGCATGATAATAACGACAAAACAGTCAATTCTCCTCCTCCTTCCCATTTCTATAGAAGGCAGCCGAAAAGCTAATAGAAGCAGGACAGCTGATAAGACCATCTCTTTGTTATCTTACTTTTTACTTGTCCTGGTTGCCAAGTATTAAAGAGAAAGATTTAAACAAAAATCTTCAAAAGTAATAGGATAAAAATCCAAAGCAACTAAGTTTGTGGCATTTATATTTGAAAACTTTGGAAGAAAATGA